ATGCTTTGTTTTCATGTACATCAAACAGAGTTTCTTTCATATTTATTTTTGGAAAAGACTTAGACTCTTAGGCTAATATATTGAATATAATTTTCTCCAATCATTTCAAAACAAGTGAATCTTGAATTAATAATATTAATAACAAGAATTTGTTATAAAATAAATAATTTAAAAAAAATTATATACATGTCATGATTTAAGTGAACACAACCACTGTTGATCAAGGAAAAAAAAATGAACAAAAGTATCTTCAGGAATCAACTGGTAATGAAAAAAGTTTGGCTTTAATTCTTTGACTCCTCTATACTTAACTAAACTAGCATTTACTCCCCCGTGTGTTGCACAAGGAGAAAGTACTTTAACAAAAGATTATTAATTTGTGCTAGTAAAATTGTTCATCATAGAAAATTTAAAGTCCTAATTATATTAGAGGAAAAAAAATTAAATTTAAGTAAGCAAAATTACTATCCCAATACATGGTTCAAGAAAGAAATGGATTGTCACTATTCAAATAAGCGTAACTTGAAAAAAAAATCATGCCACCAAATCTTTAGAATCCTAAAAACCTACTGCAAAGAATTTTAAAGTGACTCAGCATATATAAGTACATTAAATAATATAACACATTTACCCATTTCGTCAATTATAAGTACGAGGGATTTAGCACTTGAAAATTACGGAATATCACTTGATAAACAACATTGGTAGTTGTTAATCTTATATTAGCCCCACCATCGTGCGATCAATTTTCAAATTTTTCGTAGTCCTCACTCTTGAAAGTGCAATATAGAGTTACCCATGTATAAACATGGACTTTGAAAGGTATGATCCAACATGTTACCCTTAACTTTTCTTAATAGTTATTGCAAATGAAAGAGCAATTGAAAATTGTCTACTTTGCATATGAAATAATTATCTATTTTCAAAAGTATTCATATTTATTTGATGAATTAGTATCTTTGGTTTGGCTTGGATTCATTTAATGTGATGCATTCAATGATAGTTTTACCAAGCCAAGTGATACATAATCGAGTTCCATTGCACAATTTTAAAGCTTGATTGTTTTACTTTCCCGTGCAATATGCAGGAGCATATATATAATGTCCGCTCTGACATTACCAGGACAACACTCACACATCGTTGTGATAACTAGGATTAAATAAAATCCCCTTAAAAAGTTACCACAACTCAAAGGTTTGAAGATAATTAGTTTAAAGCATTGAGATCCCAAGAAAACTTTTTTTTTAATAAAGTTTGAGCTCAAACCATGGTTAAAAATTGAATAAGAACAAATACAAAAGCATAGGAAACAAACTACGTCAAAATTTAGCTAAAACGCCATTTTTCAATAAATACTGGTCCGTCCGTTGCGGCGTAAGCTGTGCACGCCGCGGTGGATGGCATAGAGGGACGAGTCCCTCGAAGGCCCAATGCGCCGCGGCGCAACAACCACGAACCGCAGCGCGCACTTACTATCATGACAGCAATCATCCCCCGAAGGCTCAACGCACCGCGGCGCGCACCTACTGTCATGACAGCAAATTGCTATCATGACAGCCCTTCGAACTTCCAAAGCACACCATTTTGCCATTCAATGTTCGATTTGAGCGGTTCAAGTGTCCACATGAAACTCTTTGAGCCCTCTAGCCAATGGCACTTGTTTCACACTCAAATAATCATCCGTTTAAAAGATAGACATCCAAACTCAAAATGGTTCGTTTTCACAACAAAACACACACCAAGGTGTCCAACTCACAATACCAAATGCCATTAGTCCCAGAGACACCTTGACTACCTCAAATGGACCACACACCGTATAACAATTTAATCATAACACACAATTAAGCATTCACATTCAAAATGACCATTGAAACCCTAATTCACAACAACCTAAAAGGGTGGATAAATTCTAACACACACGTCATTTGGTCATTTTATATAATCCACTTCAAATTCATCACGTGTAATTGTAACTTGGCCCAACACATATATAATTCACACATTATCCTTGGACCAAGGTATGCATACCTATGACATATCCATACAAGTGATATCCCAATATATGTCATGTTCCTAAGTTGGCAATATATATATAGACTATATTCATTACAATACCCAAAAAGGAGAAAGGGAAGATCTATACAATGATGCTCTTCACTCTTCAAATGCCCCTTCCTTCCTCTTGCCCCTACCGGAGCCCTCACCTGTAAAATATAACCATTGGGTGAGATAAACATCTTAGTAACCAATATAGTTCATCAAATGTTTATTACCACAAATAACCATGAAAAAGTATCAAAACTATAATAATAACAAGTATACCATAATTATGAGATGAGTATATCTTTTCACAATAAAACACATAATTTCACACTAGCATAATCATCTAACCACCGAACCTCTAATGCTCCCCGACATGAAACCATAAGCTCTTCTGAATCAATCACTTATTAACCCGAGCACACTTTCAGTGATAGAAATACTCGACCAAAGGTAATTTAATCCATTTATGGACTATGGTTTTTTCCTCTTCACACACTTGTGATAGAGGCGTCGTTGACTCCTAACCGCACCCTAACGGGTACTAAGGAGTTGCCACCCAGATATCCCATGGTAACAGTCCCATATAATGCTACACCGGATGTCCTATGGTGTCAGCCCAACCATATAGATTTTTCGCTCATATATCTCCACACAATTATCCCCACATATCTTAGGTGAACTTCTACCCTTTATGATCATGTTCTTTCACAATTTTCACCACTTTTCGTCACATTTCCACATCACAAACTTATATACATAGTATATACATATCAATTAAAATTAATAACCTTTTACAAATAAATTTTTCATGCTAAAATCATTTACAATGTTAAATTATGCACAAAACTCTTCAAAATCACAACTTTATCATTTGTAATTACTTCTACACAGTTAGAATAGTTAATAAACACAATAAACTATATGGCTACCTCAACCCTTTGTCACACAAAAAGGGTTACCGTGGCTCAATGTTAGCTTCACACGTTCTATACACATGATAAGGCTTGAGCATCGCTCAATCTACACAATCAAGTGACAATAATCAATTATCACTCCGGTTAACTCCAAATTCACTAGGTTCTAAGTGCTTATAACACCCAATTTTCTCTTTCTCACAACATCAACCATTCCTAAACACTCTAACCATCCTATTAAACATCCCAACATACCAAATTCGCTAACCAATGTCCCACATTGTCTCAAGATTCTCAAATTATACTTAGGGTTCGTCCAAACCTTTATCAAAAATTTTTAATCACCACAAAACTCATAAACTTAGGGTTAGAAACTTGATTTAACTCCCCAAGATTTTAAATAAACCAATGGGTTTGATCTAAACCCAAGGGAACCAAAATCAAAGCCCCCATTACCTCAAATGTTCAGATTTTTGCATAAAAGAGGGAGAAGAGGGAATGTGCAACTTACCCAATGGTGATTCAAGCTCCAAATGCCCTCAAAGTAGCCTAGGGATCGTGCCCTACCAGACCACAAGCTTTCCTCCGTCACTCTCTCGTTATCCCTCTTTCTTCCTTCTATTTTTGACATGTTTTTCGCGTTTAATAAGTGTAGATTTTGCATATGCGCTGCGGCGCATGGCACAGAAAGCTACACCAAACTTTAAACTTCCTTCCGTGCCATGGCCTACTCAAAAATTGACCTAGCATCCTTCTAAGGCTGTCCAAAGATTCAAAAACTATATTAGTTTTCCATAAACCTTGTTAATCAATAATTTATTTAAATTGACTAAATTACCCTTGAAAACACTGATAATTACAAATGGAGAAACTTAGAATGTTACAATATACTTATATTATATTTAATTAAAATTTTTTACAAATAAATGTTACAAAAAGGTAAACAATAATTATCATAGACATCTCAATCATATTGTACTTACAATGCTTAATGAATGTGAAGAAACTAAAATAAAAATGAACTTTAAATATAAAGAGAAATGGTCATTAAAAAATAAATTATTCATAAAAAATAATATTACAAAAAAATGCAAAATTAACTTGTCTAATCCTAGAACATTACTCGAATAGCAACAACTTTTCTAATCACTTAACATTGCTTAAAAAAAACTAAACTAAACTGTGACTACTTATGTTAAATGAATTGGATTGCCATATAAAAATTGTAAGACTTGCTTCGACATGGGGCGTGCATTTTACTTATGTAGACAATAAAAGTAAAAAAGATTGCTACAAATGTCAAAAAATTTACATGAACTTGCAAGAAAAAAAAAGTCAAAACCATCTTTATTAAAATACATTAAGCTTAACATTGTGCAAAAAATTAGTATATATCATTCAAAACAAAGTCTTAAACTTTCATAGAAAATCAAAAAGCAACGAAGTTAAACCTTTCATGTAGCTTCTAGAAAGTTCTCCTCTCAAACTCAAAACTCTTTAAATGTTTGATCAAACAAAACTTTGGCAAAACAAAATTTGCAAAGTATGATGCTATCTGTAATAAGTACTTTATCTATCGCCAAAACTTAACATGGGAGGTCACCTAAATCTGTCTTGAAATCCAACAAAAAATGAGCAAATCACGAGTCCTTAATAAAAGCAAAAAGTAACAGAGTTCTTTTCCATGTTAAGCGTTCTCGATGTCCCGTGACATTGGTGATTGAAATTCTATCTCCATAATAAAAAGAATTATACACACGGGATTGCAGAAAAGTGTCTGCCTCTTATAAGAAAAACATCTCTTCCTCCAAAATTTAATATTTAACAATATATTATAAAAAAATAAAGTGCCATATCTAAAACGCATGTCAAACAAAAATTACCACGCCAACATATGATTAAACCTCTGCCATTTTGTTGTTGCAAAATAAAACTGAACTGAACCAAAATCATAAACAACAATCACTCTCAAAATCATTAGTAGTTCTTAAACATAGCAAGTGGAAGGAGAACATGAACATAAAAAACTAAAAAATTGCAACATGAAATAAAATAAGGCAACTTGTGCTTCATTCATCTTGTTGGCCCAAAAAAACAAAAGATTCATTCATCCTTAAATAAATGAAGGCAAACCGAAATCATGGAGTTTAGTTATATGATACTAAGTCCTAGCCTAGCAAGATTACACAAATGCTAACTATCATCTGCACAATCGAAAGGAAGGAAGATATTCCCAACAATCCTAGACAGCAACAATTTGGTATCATGACTGATCTCAAAATGGGTGACCAATCAAATTTTCATGGACAAGGAGGTTACAACAGAGGGCATTTTGTATAGCAACTCCAAATTTATGCAGACCCTTGTTGTAGCAAACTTGGCACCCCAACCTTACAGCATTAATTTCAGCAATAGCTGGAGGTAAAGACATGTTCAAAGCAGTAAATCCACAGATCCACTAATCCTCAGAGTTCCAAATTATCCCAGCAATGACGTCACCACAATTATAGCAAGAGATTCCTTTGATAGTGAATCGTGCACTCTTTGACAGGTGTAAAAGAACTGTTATTGCACATTCTTGCACTAAATGTACCAATGAACATTTTGAGCGTGATACCCTGCATCATTCCAGCTTCCATTCGTCACTCTAAAAAAACTACAGATCACTTCATCCAATAAGTTAGAATGCATGGAGAATTTAATGGACAATAGGCACTACCAACAAATTACATCAATTTATTCGAGCTAAGAGACAAAAAAAAAAAAAAAAATTACACAGAATTTCATACTATTATAGGTTGGTCAAGGTGATCAATCGAACAGATTTGAAGCCACAATAAGCTCTGTGAGGAACTGTACATTATACTATTGATTGCGAAGTTAAAAAAGTAAAAAGAAAGTATATTGGGTAGCTTGAATAAAAGGGAGGTCACTAATAGGTCTATGGTCTTGAAGTTTGGGTTTTGGAGTTGTCTTCTCAACTTTAGCCCACTTTGTTTGAGGTTGACTGATAAGGGTCCAAGTCAGCATAACAAACCCATAATCACTTATCAACGCAGAAAAAGTAGGAAGATAACAGAATCAGATGCTGTTATGCAGATTATGAGGGATTTACCTTATTTAAATTAATTCATTGCTGTTATTTTAATTAATTATTGTTTTGTTTTACTGTTAGTAACTGTTAGTAGCTGAATAATAGGACCTTCACTGCGTTAGTGGGGTACCAACGTGCTAGTCAGTTATTTCCTGATTTTAGGCTAATTATCTGCATTATTTGATTTATTTAATTGTAATTTCTGGTTATAAATATCCTGGCTGGTATGACAGCGGGATATCTGAAATTAATAAACCTTGTTTTTCCCTTGGAGATTCTCCTATTTGGCTATTAAGTTCAGGAGAGTAAGATCCTTGCCCTATTTAATTTAATAGAATCCTCCTTTTCCTTCGTATTTGTCTTGAGCCCCTACCATTGACACTTGCTTGTAAGATGGACAACCTGTTTTTCCTTTCTTATAGAAGTAAAATGTCAGAGGCAAGCCAGCTAGTGGCAGAAGTTAGAATGAGGCCTAATATGAGTAGGTTAGCATCCTATGATAAAAGGCCTAATTTTTTGCTTAGCAACATTCTTGGCAATTATTTTTAGAGGATAGCTAAGAACTCTTTTCTCACTATATGCGCCAACCTACAACAAATTATAAACATTAGGCCTGTGAAGAGCAATAGAGAATTTGGATTATTGAACATAAAACAACTGTGAGGAGCAACATGCACAAAAATATCTCCATGCCTGTCAAACAAATTATTCCTAACTCATTTAAGAGGCTTACTTTTTCCTCATCATTGTGAAGGCCCTCTATGAATGCATCTACCTTTTTAGCATTTATTAATTCATACTTAATGATTATGTAACCTCTAATATTAGCATTTAAGATTATGAATAACCTCAGGACAAAATACAATAATAGCATAAGTGAGTTGTCTAAATATTAATTCTAGTTACTTTTACATTCCTAGTAAATAAAAAATGAGGATGAGGTACATTCTCCTTTGCAACATTGCTTGATCAGTATTTAATCAGCCACTATCTAGTCAAAGTCATGAAAAGTATAACCTTGCGTGCTAAGGTTCAGAATTGCTTTTTCAAATTGTCAGAATAAGTTTCAGATACCTTTCTAACTATAGCAGACTTTGGATGAGGTTCATATGTTCTTTTTCACCTTTTGGCATGGACTGTAAGGTGTATACTTGCTTGTGATACATTCAAACTTTTTTCTATAACTTCTAACACAAGCAATATCTAAAACAAATATATATTCTGAGCTAAAACAGATAGTCAAAAAAGAAAACTTATCCCTCAAACATTCATTCAACCATATCCCATAATTAAGACAACTAAAACAAACAAATTCAAAAAAAAAAACATTTAATGAGAGATAATGGGGCTTGTAGCAAGGCTCTCCTCGCAGACAGTAGACGAGAGATCAAAACATGCCATAAAAAAATATGTTAGTGTAGAGTTCATTTTTATGCACATCACCAGCATAGTTACTACAAAGCTTTGGCCTATCCTCGGGTTGGATATTTACTACAGAATAATCAATTTAATATTTCGCATGCGAAAATGAATAAACTGCAAAATATCAAAGCAAGAAGAGAAGGGATCCAGAACATGCTTTAATAAGGATTATTCTCAAAAGTGAGGAGTAGAAACAAAACATATAATCAATTACAAAGGAAAGGAAACAATATGCTAAGAAAGTATTTCAAAGAAGAAGCAGATCCTTCACAGTTAACATCACCAAAAAGAAAATTTTCAAGTCACAAACCCTTAGCTCCTTCAAATCATTATAGTTGAAAGTGGTCCTGATATGGCAAACCTCACAAAGCCTCTAAAATGACCATAATAGATGAGAAGCTTTGACCTATCCATACACCTTGCATTTTGATATGTACCCTCATCCACCGCCTTTCGTTTTGATTTTAGACCATCAGAGTTTAAAAAAGAAAGAAATATTTAATCCTCTCTTAATACTTCTATCACAACACAACCATTCTACCAAGAAAGTATTATTATTCATGCATCAAGGACACACGTTAATCTTTGGTTAGCATGTGGGACAACTTCTGCAGATGTAAATAATCTTACTCATAAGGAATGCAAAAAGGGTAATTGCTGAAATTTGGCAACTAATCTAGGATTGAACCTAAATCAAGCAAAAATAAGTGCAAAGAAAAACCTCTGCCATTCTATTTGTAAAATAAAAGAATTGAACTGAACCTAAATCCTAAACAGCAATTACCCTCAAAATCATTAATAATTCTTAAACAGAGCATATGGAAGGAGAACCACGCCAAAAGAATAAAATAAAACAAATGCAAGAACAACAACGCTGAGGTTTCTTGGTTGCCATTGAAGTCTAGAATCTAGAAGTAGTAGAACAAAGATGAATGGCTTTTCAGAGAAGTTCACAGTACATCTAAGGAAGCATGATTTCAAGGTAAAGTTTCAATCATTTTAAACAAAAAAACTCAAGGGGTTACCTTAATTCAAGCAATAGTGCAAAAAATGAAAATTGAAAAATAGAGAACTTAATACGAATACTAATATTGAGATAGACTATGCAAAAATGAAGAAGAAACCTGTGATGAGATAATTGCCAAAGATGATGCCGCTCCGTCATGGTGACCAATCGCAAAAAAGCAAGAGAATCTGAAAATGAAAAACAAAATTTAAATTTTTAAAAGGAATAACAAATATGGATAAGTGATAATGTAAAGTGATCTCATAAAGTCGAAGAACCTAGAAGCCAACGTCTCTTAGAGTAGATGTGGAGTCACCCAAAGCTGGTCGACCGTGAAGACGTCTTCTCCTCAATCTAACGAAAAAAGCGAGGAATAGTGAAGCAAGAAATGGAGAGCAACGCGAGCGAATTTGATGACATTCCAAGCAGATGACCAGATTTGACGATACTCCATATGCTTCGAAAAACACAGGCTCGAAGCTTGGGATGCTGAACTCTTTTAGTTGATTTGTGCATCAAAGGTAGCCCAAAGAACTTCATTTCTCCTTCCAGATTGAGGAAATAATGGAGGGCATCTACTCACCAAAATATGGCCGGCGGACACGAAGAGAAAAGAGAGCGGCGGTGCGGCTACCAGAAGAGCAGGGTTGATATAGTAAAAGATGAGGCCATTGATATAAACTAACGGGGGGAAGCGAAGCTAAGAAAGAAACCAATGAAAACCGAGAGGAAAGATCGGATGAAGAAACAGGAAAGAATGAGAGGGCACCGGAGGTGGAGTAACAGAAAAGAAAGTGGAAGAAAGATAAGAGCACACGTGAGAGGGAGAAAAAAGAAAGAAGAAAAAATTGGACGAGTCATGAGAGAGAGAGAGAGAGAGAGAGACGAAAGATATTGGAGTGGAGTGTGTGAAATTATTTTTATTTTATTATTTTATTAATTAATATTTTATAAAATATATTTAAAGAAAATGATAAAATAAATATTTTTTATTTTACTTTAATGCTTAAAAGTTTTTTTTATTTTTTTATTTTTTAAAATAAAATTTTATTTTTTTTATTTTTTAAAATATTTTTTAAAAATATGTTATCAAATAAATTTTTTATTCTCTTATTTTAAAAATTAAAAAAATATTTTTAAAATGATTTTCCAATCAGGTCCATGGAATCTGAGAGGTCAGGTGAGAGCAAGTGAGGAAACCAAAGCATCTTAAATTTTGAAATTTGAAAAACTTGAAGTGGAGGGAGAGAAATAATTAAACCAAAGCATTTGACCAGAATTTTTTACGAAGCCGAATGCTTAGTCCAAGTTAGTTTGTGAGAAGCAGCAAGCCGAATGTCAAGCTGAAAAAATATTAAATGAGCCGTCATTGTTCATATGAACAGTGAAAGTAGAGAGAAGCTGAGATGAGCCGTTTAGAAGCTGCAGCTTAGGAGGTTTTTATTTTATAGATACATGGATCCTCTTTTTTTTTTTTAAAATGAAATGAACTCTTATATAAGATTAATTATATAAGTTTAATCCAAAAAATTTTATTCTTTTTTCATGTATCAATTTGCTTAAAATATTTACTCAAGCCGTACACTTGTATTTTCTGTTTAATAGGCCACCATGGATTTTGGGCTAGATAAATTGCTTTGCTTTTGGTTTTTGTTTTTCGTTTTTGTTTCATTAAAAAAAAAATCTGAGCTACAGTTATGCCTTTGCGCATTTTGTGCAGAAAATGGAACTGTTTAATATAGACCCTTTTTTTTAGTTGGGATCAAATTTTGATCACTGTTTTTTTTTCTGAAAAAAAAAATCAATTAGGATCCTTTGAAATATTGCAATTAAGACCCAAAGCTTTATGAAAAATAATACAAGAGAAATTCTTAAATAGATTGACAGTATTACGTCATTTATGGTCTATTCAATAAAAATATAATATTTAGATGATATTAAATATAAATTAATTTTGATATTAACGATAATAGAAAGAAAAAAAAATAAATTAATTATGCATTCTATTATAAGAAAAAAATTAATTAAAATAATATCATGTAAGATTTATTTAAATGACTTGTAATATTTTAATTGGACAGACTATAAATGCTATAGTGCACCCGATCTACATAAAAATTTCTCTTGCTATAAACCCAAGGTCTTCGATTGTAATAAAATTATGTATGTCAATTACTGAAATACCCATTTTTCATTGTTTTTTTTTAAAAAAAAAAAAACTTGCCACCATTATTATGGGCAATGGCTACCAAATCCCCATTGCTGCGGGAAGACCACACTGCCACCGGAGCTTCGATTCGTTAGTCAACCATAGGAGCAACACTCAATTAATAAAGGGGATGGAGTATGAACTCATGATCTCTTGTTGGTTTACCAAAATTTTGACGATTATTGAATTAACAAAGTCTTTTATAATCATATTGTTCATTGTAATATATATATATATATATATATTATAAATTTAGTTTCAAATTTTTTTTTTAAAATAAAAGTTGTTAAGTTTCAAAAGGGTTAAGTATTATTTTTATTCCTAAATTGCACACGAAAGATCACAAATACTCATAAACTCAACTATAAGTCAAATCTGTCTTTAAACCTTATTTCCTTCATCATCACCCTAACTTTAAAACACTTAATGTTCGTTAGTTATTAGTGAATCCCACTATTTTTATTTTATCAAGTGAAGGGTTATTTTTGCCCCGCAACTCAAATATTTTATAATAAAAAAGGGTTAATGTTCAAATTTGCCTTTGTACTTATTTTTTAGAAGCGTTGGACACTTTATACTCTTAAGTGAAGCAATTTTTTTTCTAAAGTATTTTTTTCAGGTGCAATAATGCCCTTCTATCAACTAGACGTGACATCCACCATTATGTGCTAATGTGGCAATTCATGGGGCCTAGGCAAACCCCATTTGACTCTCAGATAAAATAATGAGCAGTGGCAATGTCATTGATAGGGATATCGGCAAGAGAGAGGGAAATAGAGGAAGAAGGAGAGGGAGCAAAGAGTGAAAGCCTGAAAGAGCTGCACGGAGCCCTTTCTGTTGACAACTAGCCACAACCTCGTGTGTTGTACGGTTGGCTAATTCAAGAAATGTATATAAACCAAATGGCAATATAGTTCAAATAATGCTAACCACCATAGTATGTGACATGTGGGCAAAATAATTAAAGTGCAGTTTAGTAAAAGCTACTGTCACCATACATATTAATGTATAATCTGCAAAAGTTGTTTAGGCCAAAAAGTTTATTATTATTACCTCCTAATTATTTATTTGTAATTATTTCAACTCTTATAATTTATCCTCAATTCATATTTTATCCAAAATAGCTCACTTCTTATCGTTTTATAATTGACAAAAAACATAAGATGTCCTGTAAAAATTTATTTACTTAAAATGATTTATTATGTCTCTTTGATGCAAAGGAAAAAAAGTTTGGGAAAAGGTGGTGGGAAATGGGCTTTAAAATGAGCCTCAATTCATTCTTGAGAGTGCAATTTCCTACATCTTTTACATTTTATATTGACCATTGAAGTTATAGGGACTTACAAAATATAATTGACAATATGGATGTCATGTGTCTCTGCGTTGCATAACTCATAAACTCAAAAACTCCCAACCCTATCACCTCCGTATATTTTTCACTCGTGTTCCTCCAATACGACTCCAACAACACTGTATTTCCCTTATAATACATTCATGTCTAATATATTCAAACCCAAAATGTCAGGCTTATAATTTGATCACTCAATGATAGAAACAACCTCCTTCCATTTCTCACTATTTTAGTCTTAACCCAGCAAATCAGCAAGGACAACTATGGAGAACTATATATACGCACCCTTCCTATTCTGACTCAGGTGAGTGGTCTCCTTGCTCCAGAGAGGTTGAATTTGAAAATCCTCTACCGTGGAACAACCAACAATCACCACCCAATTATAAAGCTAAATTCATGTGTAGCTATGGCAGAAAGATCCAGCTTCATGGCTAAGACAATAAGCTCTCCCATGTCAGCGACGAGACCAAGATCCTCGCCGTTAACCTCAACATCAAGTTCTCCACTGTGATTTCCAAGCTCTCCATAAAACTTGAAGCACCCAAATTTAAACCAGGGGGAGGTCTTGGCGGACCAATCATCTCCCCATCATCATCATCTTCTGCATCAGAACCTAAACCAACAGGCAGTGGAGGAGGAAAATCACAATCTAAACCCTCTATCATGAATAGGTCCCTTGCACTCTCATCTGTCGCTCTGTCTTCAACCTTAACCCTCTGGTTTGTTTGCTTCACTTGTCGCTCTCTCTTACCATACTGGGTATGAGCTGCTATGATGGCATCATCCTGTTCCTAAAAAATTTGGTCTTCTTTGATGCACCAGGGACCTTTAATTCTGTTGGGATTGTTGCAAATCCTCTAAGGACTCTTTGAAAAGGAAGAGCTGGAGGATGAAGTGCAGAGTCGATTGGGAAAGGAGAGAGCGTAATTCACTTCCATTCATGCCACGTCGCTGGTGAAAAAAAAAAAAATAAGGATGCCATGTCATAGGATCAAAGAGGGTCAAAGCTTATAGATGAGATGCCAAATCAAAAGATAATGGAGCCCACATCATGACACATTAGCATAAAATGGGAGAACTAACGGTTGACTAATAGAGGGGCAATTTTGCCCCTTTAAAGAAATAGTTTAGGAAAAAAATTGCCCTACTTAAGAGTTCAATATGTCCAGCGCTCCTAAAAAAAGTACAGGAAAAAAATTGGACCTTACCCTTAAAAAATATTTAAAAAATAATGTGGGGATCCACTAACAATCAACTAACAGTGAGAAAATGATAAGGTTATGAAAAAGAAAATTTTTAAGGTTGATGGATAGAATTGAATTATAGTTGAATTTATAGACATTTGTGTCCTTTCATGTACAGTTCAAGAACAAAAATGACCCTTAACTCATTTTAAAAGTATTGTTGTTAATTCCTTTTAGTTAATTTGTCAAAATTTGAAAAATTACTTGTCTATTCAAAGATCTTTCCAATGACAATTTTTTCAAATTCAAACTTCAACTTATCAAATTTTTTTTTAAAAAAAGTTGTCAAATATTTCATATCGAGATGTTACCCATATATCGGTATGGAAAAGAAGCCATTGGATGTAAATTTGAAATGAACGAGTGTGATTAAAAGATGAAGACGAGAAAACTTACCTTTTATATCAGTATGTCACTAATATACCAGTATGTAATTTTCATACTGGTATGTACTAGTTACACTGGTGTGAGTGTGGGTTTCTTATTTATCTATAATAGTCTCAATCATACCGATAATATGTATTGATACCGATATGTATAATACACACTAGTATAATCATGCCATATCGATATGATTGTGGCATCCATAATAGCCTCAAGCATACCAATCTGTGTATTTGATATCAGTATTTATATTACATACCGATATAGTTAAGACATACTTGTATGCTTGTGGTTTCCATAACAGCCTTAATCATATTGGTATGTTGATTTGATACTGGTATGTATAATACATATTGGTATACCGGTATTATTGTGGCTTCCATAATAGCCTCAATCATATAGGTATGTTCATTTCATACTGGTATGAAATCAATATACTGGTATGAGTTTGGTTTTAAATACTAACTTATAAATCTTCTAGGTGACTTGTTTGTCACCCTATTGTATGTGGTTCATTTACTCTAGGTATCATGTTAATTTGCTTACCTGACTTGTTTGATATGACATTGGCTTCAGAAAATTCTAAGTGTAAAACATACCGATATGAAATCAACATACCGATATGAGTTTAGTTTTGAACACTGGCTTATAAATCTTTTAGGTGACTTGTTCGTTACCCTACTATTTGTGGTTCATTTACTCTATGTATCATATTAATTTCCTTACTTGACTTGTTCTATATGACATTGGCTTCAGAAAATTCCAAATGTATGCTAGTTTCATTTTCGATGACTTGTTTTGAACCTTACTTTGTGTGGTTCATTTCCTCACAACATGATCTTTATGGCCCTACCTTACTTGTTCTTTACAACACTAACTTCAAAAATTCCAAGTGCTCATAATGACTAGTTTTAAGTAAGGATGACTTGTTCATTAACTTACAAAATGTTGTTAGTTTTCTTACATAATTTGTTCATTACACTACTCTTAATTGACATGGGAGTACATCTTTATACTTTATTTTCCCTATTAAAGACAATTGCAAAAGAACGTAAATAACTAAATTCATTCCCATCCAATGACTTCTTCATATATATATATATAAAAAGAAAAGATAAATTCCAAGCAATTTCATGACAATAATAACATGTCAAAATAACATTGATGTTGTTAATTCAGCTTTGCCTCTTCTTGGCATTGTCACTTCTAAGAAGTTGCAGCACAACATCACGTTTGGAATTCTTCTTATGGCTGACAGGTATCACAACAATTCAACTTTAATGTTATAGACATTCTCATTAGAGTAGGATGGACTTGTATACCCATCTTCATGAAAGGGAGAGTTATCCTATAATTTCAGCCACTCAATGACGTGAACCCTATAAGATCTCCTACATAGGCAAATAGTTTTGGTCAAATTGCTTAAAAAACTAAAAGAAGCTATAATAATGGAAAGTCAACATATTAATGAACGCACATATCAATTTGGAGATTAACTTGTGCCCATTTAACATCCTTCTCAAATTCTTCCGCATTCTCAAATAGTTAGGGTTTCACTGCACGCATCAATTGGTGGTTAGAGGAAGAACCCCGACCAAAAAAAGCTACAAGGTTAGAGGCAACGGCTGACCTGGTGGTCACTCCTTCAATGGAGATTGTTGGATGACTAGTCTAGCAACGGAGACTTCATTGATAAACTTTGTTAACCTTGCTACGTGGTGCCTCGTTTACGAGCTCCAAAACTTTCAAGTAAATGTATGCAAGACACTTTTCTTCTCGGTAGTTTTAAGGGTAATTTTGTCATCTGACTTTCAAAATTAATTTCATATCAGAGCCCCAACAATGGAGTCATATATCAAAAAGTTTGGAGTCTTCTTTTTTATTATCTTTGATCAAAGGTCCCTTTGTGAAATTTTCCCTAGTTCTAAAGGCTAAGCATGCAGCGGCCGAATTTGGGAAGTGTGCTGGTCTAACAACTTAGATGAAAATCAAGTCTGTCGAGAAGTCCCGCGGTCTCGTGCCTGGCACTTTCCTCCTACCGGGTTCTTAAAAGTAAATTGCGATGGAGCTTTCAATCCCAAAAATAAATTAGCTGCTATTGGGATTATTTGTAGAGATGAATTTGGCATCTTTAAATGGTCTTTTGTTAAAAAAATAAAGTCTCTACCAGCGTTCATGACCGAGGCAATGGCACTAAGAAAGGCTTTATTATTGGCAATTGATCTTGGTAATAGCAAGATCATATTTGAAAGCGACTGCTCCGCACTAGTTTCTTGTGTGAATTCTGGTCGCTCTGATCAATGTGAATGGATGAGTGGAGGCGTGGTTCTTGATACCTTGGACCTTTTGAGATCCTTGGTGAGTTCTTCTTTAACTTTCACTCGTCGTGAAGGTAAGCGGATCATCTAGCTGCTGGACCTTGTAAGGATGTGTAACTTTTTGGGTGGGTAGATTCACCATCACTTCCTTTGTCAACCTTTTTAGCCGAGGATATCAACAAGGCCGAGCAACTCAAGAGCCAACTTCCTCTGTCTGTTCTTAGATCTGGAGTTGGCTGACTTCTTTTTTACTGCTATTTTTGTTCTTGTTGGCGTCTCTTTCTTTGCTTTTTGGTTGGCTTGGCTTTCTTTCTTGTTGGCTTTGTGTACTTTTACTCTTTTTTCGTAGTTTGGAATTTGAAGTCTTTCTGATTGATCAAAAGGGGAAAAAAAAACAAGAAGAAAAGAATCACTGCATGCTTTAAGGTAACTATCACATATAATTTATTTTATCATTATTTTAATTCAAAAGCTATTTGCTCCTTCCAATCAAGTTGCAGAGCATAGAAGGGGACAGACGCTGCAAAAATGCTCAGTGATCGTAGAATTAGAGTTTTGAATATTCAAAGTCAAACGACCAATCTCGTCCACGAGTCTTTTTGGCATGTTCTCTATGAACGTTCCACGATGCTTCGGTTTCGAAACAGCGCTTCCCGGGCCCTCGATCCATTCATTCCACGTACTCATCTCCATCCTCATCTATATAATAAAAAATATCTAATTATATACAACTCATTATTATATAAAGTATTAGAAAGTCAAGTATAAGTTGACGTGTTTTTAATATATAGGAATTCCTTTCAATCCAAAATATACACATTTTTCTTTAAGTAATTATTTTTATTCAATTTATAACTAACTTAGTGCATTTAAAAAATTTTATCCCCTTTCTACATCTTATATTTATTAACCTAAATTTTTATATAAAATTATCTCTTACTCATCATAAAATGTATTGGTATTTGAAACTAAAAGTAAATATATATATATATATATATTTATAAAAATGAGGACTTGCTTATATTTAGAACCATAGAGAGTAAGTTGTTAGTAGTATCATATTCACAATTCTGAAATAATTTTGGTGTCAATGTAAATATTTTATTAGTGAGTAATCTGCAAATGTTATCTCTATATAAGTGTTCTTTAAACTTGGAGACTTTCCTTGACCCTAGTAAGCTCCTAAAATTTAATTTATCTAAACTTTTTTTATAAAAAAATTAAATTGAAATCTCACATAAAAAAATTAATTAATATAAAGTTCATTTGCATATGAACTAAGGCTATTGATAACTGATTGTGTTGTCAATGACCTTAGTTTAATTGTCAATTAACTAGTTTATAATAATTAATTTCCTCTTGTGAGACTTGTATATAATTGATAATTCTCCAAAAAAAAAATATCTTTGAATTTATGATATAATGTTAAATGACATTTTGGATAATTACTGAACATATTAATTTATTTGACAATAAATAGTTTGCAGAAAAATTTATTTATATAATCAATATAATAATGACAATAAACATGTTAAGATACATTAAAAATCATTTTATTCTTAATAGTTAATACTTGTATTATTGCTCATTTTAAAAACCAAACTACCAAAACAAAAACAAAAACAGCAAAAACTAAGACAAAATTTAATTAAAGAGTGAAAGAGGGAAAAATAAAACAAGTCCCGTTAAAGAGGCAAACTTCTCCCATAAACAATTCTTCTCTCACGGACATATCCTGGAACAAAGATGGTTAGCTTCAGCAATAACGACGCTGTCTTCACAATGACCATTTCACTGTCACTCTCCTCGCCGTTCTTCTTCTTCTTCTTCCAACTCCTTTTCACCGTCCGGACCACCTCCTTCAGTCCTGTTGATCATTTCGCCGTCGCCTGCGGTAACTTAGGAAATATTCGGTCATCGGATAACCGGAACTGGACCGGAGATATTGGCTCCAGAATATTCTCTCCCATTGAACCCCGCAACGGCCTCCACTCCGTCGTCGTCAACGCATCGGTCAGAAAAACAGTCCCCTACGGCACCGCACGCCTCTCTTACTCTGAATTCTCCTACTCATTCCCGGTGACCTCCGGCCGGAAAATCATTCGCTTCTACTTTTACCCATCTTCCTACGACCTCAACTTCCTTCGCTCTGACTCTCTCTTCTCCGTCAAAGCAAGTTCCTTACCCCTTCTTATGGACTACAACGCTTCACTTGCCGCCGACAAAGCTGCCGAAGAAACCTTTTTCAAAGAGTACGTCGTCACCGTTGACCCAGGTCAGAGGCTAAATGTAACCTTCATGCCCAGTGTATCTTATGAAAACGCTTATGCTTTTATCAATGGGATTGAGGTTTTCTCTTCGCCAACTGATCTTTATTACCCCAACCTAGACAATATAATAACAGGTTCCAATCCTGTTTCACGCCCATCTCCCTCACTACCATCATCGAAATCATCAAAGAATGCAAAGAACACGAGGGTAATTTTCATTGTTGGAGGGGTAGCTTCAGGCATCGTTGTGCTTTCTCTTATTCTTTTGCTGATTTTTCTGCGATTCGCTAAAGGTTCAGTAAAGGAAGGAAAATCATGGTGGGGACAGAAAACAGTAGCCATGTCCAAAACAAGAAAGACCCAAGGGACTTCATTATTGTCGTCTGATTTGTGTCGTGTCTTTTCAATAGACGAGATAAGAGCAGCGACGAATAATTTCGATGATATTTTTATCATCGGTTTCGGAGGGTTTGGTAATGTGTACAAAAGCTACATTGATGAAGGTACAATACCAGTGGCAATCAAACGTCTCAAACAAGGTTCACAACAAGGACTGCAGGAGTTTCAAACTGAGATTGAAATGCTCTCACAACTTCGTCACAATCATTTAGTGTCTCTCATTGGTTACTGCAACGAAGGCAATGAGATGATCCTTGTCTACGAGTTCATGGCTAACGGAACTCTACGTGAGCATCTTTACAATTCTGATCACCACTCACTTTCCTGGATTCAAAGGTTAGAGATATGCATAGGTGCTGCACGAGGAATACATTATCTACACACAGGTACAAAGCATGCAATCATTCACCGGGACATCAAAAGCACAAACATATTAATAGATGAGAAATGGATGGCGAAGATTTCAGATTTCGGGTTGTCCAAAGTAGGACCCTCGGGTATTTTGAGATCGAACATTAATATAAGCACCGTAGTGAAAGGAAGCATTGGATATTTAGATCCAGAATACTGCATGTGTCAAAGATTGACGGAGAAGTCAGACGTGTACTCATTTGGAGTGGTGTTACTGGAGGTATTGTGTGGGAGGCCTCCTATTTTGCGTGCAGTGGAGAGGCAGCAGCAAAACTTGGCAGAGTGGGTTCGAAGATGTGTTCACGAAGGTGAGATCGGTCCTGCCGTTGATCCATTTCTCAGAGAAAGTATGAGGCCAGATTGCATAGAGGCATACATTGAAATTGCATTGAAGTGTGTGGCCAATGATGGGAATGAACGGCCAGCCATGGGTGATGTGATGCTGGGCCTAGAGTTTGTATTGGAGATGTTGAGGAATGAAGAGGAGATTAGTTCTGATGATTGATTGGTGGTGATGGCCGTGTAAGATGAAAAATGTAAATCGATGTTATAGAGTCCCTACATTGTCAATGTCAGATAATCTTCATTAATTGGCCATAAATTTGCTAAAGTCGACTCCATGTCTTTCCAATCACCGTGTAGTCTTTACATAATACAAATACTCTAAAGATGACTCCAAGTCTTTCTATTCTACTAAATAATGTTTGAATTGATGGATTTAAATTTAAATTTTAAAATTTAAAACTTAGATTTTAAACATGTATTTAAAATCTTTTGTTTGTATAATGTACAAATTTTAAAAGTAAAAAAAAAAAGATGAATTGAGATTCAAAGCAAAAATGGAAAGATTGTGATTTATTGATGAGCTTACCTTTATTTTTTAATTGATAAGAAATGAGAATAAGAAATGAGAGGAGAGGCACTTGAGAGAAACAGACAACGATAGTGAAAACAAAAAGAAAAAAAAAAGCTTGGAGCAGTTGAAATGTCAAATAATTAGGGTCTAGACGCTAGAGAGAATTTGAAATTACAACAAAAAATATAATAAAACATGGATGTGGATTTGATTCATAATTTTTTTTTAGGTATCCAAAGGAGAATTTCGTTCACATTCAATCTAAATACAAATCCTGATGTATTCAAATGCAATATTAATTAATTCCAAAATGATTGAACCTTCCATGAAAATTTTGGAGCCTTGTATAATCATAGATTTGAATATTCAAATGAATGAAAGTATCCAAATTAAATCGTCCCCGTACATCGATCTCGTGCATTGGGTGTGGAGAGATTGCTGGCACAATTAACGTTGCATTTTCTCTATCTTATTTTCATTTTAGTTCATCATTCTTAATTAGGCACATATTGATTTTTTTTAGTACAGTGATTCCTAGAGATGTTGTAATGACACAATACAAGGTCTGTCTTGATGTGCGTGTTATGATAAAAAATCAAAAGCATCGACAATTGGTAGCTCCTAGGATTAGGCGGTGAGAGTTAAAAAGTGAGAAGCGAGAAATTTTCAAGAGAAATCTTTTCGCCAAAGGAATTTGAGAAGTGAGAAGTGAGAAATTTTTAAGGGAAATCTTTTCACCAAAGGAATTTGAGAGTCCTAAGGAAGTGCTAGCATTTTGTGGAAGGATATGGCTAAGAAAGTAAGGAAGATTGCAAAAGAAGTTTTGAGAGAATCAAAAGGTTTTGATCTGAGAGACAAGGAGTCTTAGTAGTGAAATGATAGTGTACAGGAAAAAGTCAGACATAAGAAAGAGTCTTTTAAAGCCATCCATTTGTGCAATAATAATGAAAATTAGAAAAGGTACTATATGGCTAAGAAGGAAGATAAAAAAGCTATGAGTGAAACTCATTCTAAAGCTTTTGAAGAGTTTTATAATGGTCTTAGGATAAAGGAAAGAGAATGAAAAATTTATAAGATTGTTAAGAGTGGGGAAAGAAAATCAAGAGATTTGGAACAAGCAAGATACATAAAGGATGAAAAGAGAAGAGTTTTGGTCACAGATGGTGATATTAAAAACAGATGGGAGACCTGCTTTTCCAAACTTTTCATAACAGAGAGGGTTCGTCTAGTAACTTGAAGGATTTAATAACTCATGAAGGAGAACAAAATTTGTCATTCTATTACAGGATACTCAGTAGTGAGGTGAAGGAAGCTCTTAAGAAAAATTGCAGAGTAAGCTATCTCAAGTCCTAGGAAATATTTCAAAGGACCTAAATCTTTCATTTGAAAATTACTGTGAAGATAATCTTTAATTTCTTGTATAAATGTTTCAAAATTGCCAGTTATAACTATATCGTCCATATAGGCAAGCATAAGAACTAAATTACTCCCTTTTATTTTAGTAAATAAAGAATAATCATGCTTACTCTACAAAACCTAATTTAATTAGGGATTCAGAGAGCTTTAAATTCCATTGTCTAAAGGCTTGTTTCAGTCCATATAAGGATTTAACTAGTTTACAAACTTTTGTGCCTCCTTGTTTTCCAAAACCTGGAGGTACTTTCATAAAAACTTCTTCAGTTAAATCTCCTTGTAAAAGGGCACTATCTACATCCATTTGACATAAGGGCCAATTATTCTTTATAGCAATAGACAAGATAGCTCTAATAGTAGGCATTTTCACAACGAGAGAAAGTGTCAAAATAATCTACCCCTTCTATTTGACTATACCCTTTTGCAACCAATCAAGCTTTCAATTTATTTAAAGTCCCATCAGCATTGTACTTCTTTTCAAAAATCCACCTGCATCCTATAGCTCTTTTACCCTTTGGGAGGTTAACTTTTTCCCAAGTGTTATTTCTTTCTAAAGCATCAATTTCATTTTTCATTGCATCTATCCACCTACTGTCAATGGCAGCCTTGTCAAAGGTGTTCGGTTCTATAATTTCATCAGTACAAACAAGAAAATCCTTATATGATGATGAAACATTGGAATAACATACACTATGCTGAATTGGGTAAACGATTTTCTTTTTATCGTTTACCTGCATACTGTTTATATGGTCTAGCACAGAGCAATCATAATCTCTAAGCCAGCTAGGTGGTTTCCGATTTCTGAAAGGGCGATCCATTTCAGGTTCAAATTCCTCATTGCTGTTGCTTTGAACATCCGGAACTAGTTCACTTGAGGAATCCGGGGGTGCTTGACTAAAAGCAGGATTTCTGTCAAAATCAGGATCAAACAGAAAAAGGATCTTGGGATTTCAATTCAAATTTCACTTCAGAAGACTCTCCCCGTGGATTGAAAGCTGTTAAATCTTTATCTTTGTAAGGGAATTTTTCTTCAACAAAAATAACCTCTCTTCTGATCAAGAACTTATCATCTGTAATGCTATAAAGCATATAACCTTTTTGGTTATTAGGATAACCAAAAAATATGCATGGTTTGGACCTTGGCTGTAACTTATCTAAGCCACTTAAAGTTTTTACAAAGGCTAAACACCCAAATATTCGTAAATGACACAGATCAGGTGGTTGTTGATAGACTAGCTCGTAGGGGTTTGTATAGTCAATAACACTAGAAGGCATCCTATTAATTATATAAGTGGCAGCCCTTATGCTTTCTCCCCAGAATTTAATTGTAATGTAAGCTTGAAACATCAAACTCCGAGCCACTTCTAGAATAAGCCTATGCTTTCTCTCAATAACCCCATTTTGTTAGGGTGTATAAAGACATGAAGTTTCATGCACTGTCCCATTAGTTAGAAAATAATTGGCAACTTCATTATTGATAAACTCAGTAACGTTGTCACTATGCACTTTTCTAACATGGGAAAAAATTGATCATGGACATAGGCAAAAAATATCTTTAGATAAGAAAAAGTTCCATTTTTAGATGTTAACAAAAAAACACATGTAACACGTGAAAGTCATCAACTATTGTTAAAAAATATCAATAACCTTGATGAGTGGGTTCCTTATATGGTCCCCAAACATCAATGTGAATGAGATCAAAACAACGAACAGATTTGATATCACTAGCAGGAAAAGGCAGACGAGGCTGCTTAGCTTGTAAGCATATAGTATACAAACTTAAATGGTAACTCATTTTTTATACAAACTTAAATGTCTAAGTACAGGATATAATGCGTGGCCTAGCCTAAAATGCCATAGCTTATTATTAGAAACAGCATTAGTATGAATATAAGTCTCAGTTTCTTCAACTATGTAAAGCCCATAATCCAATTTACCAATCATTTTTGCGCTCCCACTGCAAAGATCCTGTAAAACACATATTGGGAAAGAAAGCAATCATGCAATGTTGTTCTTTAGTGAGTCTGGAGATGGAAATCAGATTAGAGCAAAGACGAGGTGCATAAAGGATGTTATGTAAAACAATATTGTCAAATAATGTAACCGATCCAGCATGCGTGACTGTTAGTTTATCATTATTTAGGATTCCAATTCTTAATGGGGGACCTTTATATTCTTCATAGGTATCTAAATAACTCAAGGAACTAACAACATGACAGGTTGCACCAGAATCTAACAACCAGTGAGCTGTGTGTGACTGTCCTAACGATAAAATGGTGTGAATCAAACCTGTAGACCCCTTTGGGTCTGTGGCAACAACAGCTCCAATATCAGTGGCTTCATTCTTCAACATCTTTAATATATTTGTATAATCTTGTTGTGACAGAAGTTGACATTCCTGGGGTTGATGCACCATAGAATTACCATTTGAGTTAGCAGTGGTTGCATCAGCATGATCAGCACGAGGAATCTGTCGAACTTGATTTCCTCTCCCTCTTCCTCTTTGAAAGTTGGGAGGAAACCCCACTAATTGGAAACATTCGTCTCTCTCATGACCACGACGCCGATGGCAATAGGAGCATTCCTCCGATGGATTTTCCCGAGCACCTCCTCTTCCAAATCGCCCTCTTCCTCTAGCAGCCATAGTTGAACCCTCGGTATGCAAAGGGGATGGAGAGGAAGACAGAGTGCGTTGTGTTTCTTCTTTGCATACCATAGAATACGCTTGATTAACTGTTGGAAGTGGGTTCATGAGTAGCATCTGACTGCGCACAGATTGATATGAAGAATTGAGTCCCATCAAGAATTGAAACAATCTTTGCTGTTGAACAATCTTAGCATAATCGATAGAAGAAGTACACGTGCAACTGGGTAATAGGGCAACGACTGAGTACTCTTCCCATATTTCTTTAAGCCGAGTAAAGTAACTTGATACAGACATGGAATCCTGAGTAAGGGAGTTAAGAAGACATGAAGACTGCATATTTTTGTACCATCTGTGTCGTTGAAGCGTTCATACAGATCATTCCAGACCAATTTTGCATTTTCTGAAAAAGTAATACCCGCCGAGATGTCTTTAGCAACTGAGTTGATCAGCCATGAAAGCACCACTGGGTTGCATCGATCCCATTGGGGGTGAAGTCGTGTGGGTCTTGACCGTCTCTAGTACAAGTCCCATCTATAATTTCAATCTTGTTCTTGGCTCAAAGTGCCATCTTCATGGTTCTACTCCAAATGATGTAATTGGTTGCTCCGGTGAGCGGCTGTGCCACCAAGGCTGTTGTCTGGGTGTCCGAAGGGTGGAGAAACAGTGGATGGTTGAGATTGAGAAGTGAAGGGGATTCGAATTGATTTCTTCATCAGTTGGCATGGCTGGATGATTGAAGCGACTGAGATCTACCAATCTTTGAAACAATGACGATGGACGAAGTGAAGAGTTGCATAGTGAGGCGATGAAGACTATGATGAGGCGCGGTGGAAGAAAATAAGTCTTTTTAAGGCTTCCAAGGAAAGAACAATTCTTGAGGGGATAAAAGGAATGGATCGGGTCATGAGCTGCGCTCTGGTACCATATTGAGAAAGAGAATGAAAACAAATAACACTTTATTGTGGACAAAAAAATCAGTCCAGAACAACTTTAACGCGTACATGAGGAGCAGTCCAAATATAAAGGAGCCTATCTGGAAGAAGTACAAGAAAATACCCAAGAAAGGCTAACGCAGGTCCTGACCCAGATATACACATGTAGGCCCAAAACAATATAACCCAATTAACAACTATTTTCTATACAAGGCCATGTCCCTTTCGCCGTGTTTACACTCAGCAACAAACTTCAAGTCGTGAAAGTAGGGGGCATGTTGACATTGTCCAAAGAACCCACTAAGTTACCCATCTGTAACAGTAACAAATAAAAAAAAAGTAATAACAAATTAAAAAGAAAAATAAAAAATCAGATGGTTTGTAGATCTATAGTACCCATCGAATGCTATTTACATAATATTATAGAAGCGATATAGATATAGAAATATTATAGATATGGATGCATGCACCTGAAAGTGTGGACTATGGATAGAGCCCGGGGGGGGGGGGGTCTCTCTCCTCGTCACATCCTGCAGTCACATTCACACAGTGGGGCAGGGACCAGGAGGGAGGAGATCAGGAAAACGGTGCCGTTTACATGATTAAAAAAATACAGAAAATAACAAAAGGCAACTGGAAAAAAAAACAGGCACCCACAAGGATTGACTTCTCTTCTCCCACCACATGTGCATAGTTTAGATTAAATATTTTAATTATTATTTTTTTATTAGCGCCTTGTACTTCCCCTGATCCGAGAGCTGCCTACATCTCTACAGAGAAGTGAATCAAAGGATAGAGAGAGAGAGAGAGAGAGGCTCACGAACTGAGGATCGATGATGAAGAAAAGCATTGTGATACTCTTGACGATCGTAATTCTCACAGCAGATTCATCGGAGACCAACATGAATATAACCACCAGTGGATGGCTTGCCCATTTTGATGCTGATGATAATATGGCTGAGCCTGAGCTCATGAGTTCTAATCATCACTTTGCCAGAATGCTTGCAGAAGTCAATTCCGTCACTAAAGGCTATGACCAAAGAGGTAAACAGGTCGTTTCTTGTCCCAAAGGTTCAAACGGACTGTACACTTCTTGCCTTTCCCTCTCTAAGAATCCTTCTTCAAGCAACCCATACTGCCTTGAACCTACAAATAGAAGTCCCGAATGCCATTGAAGAGAAATAGATATCGCTGAGTTTCTAATGTCTCAGGTTTCTTATTTGCTTTCTGTGTCGTTCGTTCAAGAAAAAGTGCTTTTCATTTCTGCCTCCATCGTTTTAATTCTAATCTGATGTTGTCAAACGCAGCTATATGCGATGATTTATATGTACTGATGTGTTTAATTTATAAGTTTGATTAGCTAGCTTGTCGGAATGATTATTTATGAGGTATGACAATGCTTGCACAGCACTAAAATTGATTTTTTTTTTCCTCAAGAAAAATAGTTGCAGCGTGATGAAGATTCGAAGGATACAAATTTTTCCAACGATTTGACCTGATATCATAACTTGTGTACCATTTTTTGGGGGGTATTTGCATTTTGCATACGCCAGGAACTTTTTTGTGTTCTAGGAAAAATAAAAGCCGGTTTTATGGGTGTTTTTGTATTAAAAAAATGGCATTTAAATTTTTATATTTATAATATTTTTCAATTAAAGTAAAACAATTTAGTTTTTAGTACGGTAGTACTTACGATCTGTCATGATTTATTCTTATAATTAATATTTTTATTAATTCTTAAATTTAAAATTTGATGGTTATAAATTAATTAAAGAATTTTAAAAATTTCATGAAATACCTAAATTAATCCGTCCCTCATCAACTGTTGTTTTAGCAAAACTCTTTGGTCCTATTTTAGCTGTTGTTTTACATTATTTTCAATGCATAATTAATTTATTTCCAACTTTATCTTGAATAAGTAGTTAATGTATGGTTTCAGCATCAACTGATATTTAAATGATTTGATTTAATAAAGATAATTTACTGAAATTACCTCACGGGTTAAATTATTTGTTTTGTTGTTAATTTTGAATTAAGTTTTATAATTTTTTATTTTAATCAAATTTTTATAATTTAATCAACGAAACATAATAGTTTATGAAAATTAAAATTATTTTTAAGAAAAAAAAATTACAGTGACAGCAACTAATTAAAATTTAATTATCTCCTTATTCAAAAATATAAGACATTTTTTGAGGAGTTGGATATTAAAAAATGTAAGGTATTTTAATTTTTCAAGGTGTAATCATTACTTTTTAAAAAAAAGTCTCTATTCATAGTGATTTCATATTTATTATAAGGTATTTAATAAAAATAAATATAAAAAATAAAATTAATTTAAAAATAAATAGTTATTTTATTAAAAAATAAAATTTAATTAAAAATATTTTATATTTTTTTGACCAAGAAAGTACTTCCTTCCTCCTTGCCGACAATTTCTTTTCCAAACTGTCGGTTACAATTGACTGAAAATTACATCTTTGACGAACGACAAAGCAGTAAATGGTAATAATAATCAATTAGTCATAGAATTTACATTATTGAAAACTTGAAAAACATACCCATCTAAACTTTTCAAAAGTTGCTCCCATGATTAGCAACAACCAAAAAAAGGACGACACGAGTTGAAATTGTATTGGTTCGTTTTTTTTATTTTTTTTATCAAAAGCTGATACCCAAAACGAGAGGGAGTAAGGGCAAAGGTTATTACAGTAGCAGGGACGGCACCCTTGCTTTTTCCACTATGCCACAGCTCTCACCTGTGACGGGGAATCATTTAAAAACAGTTTAAAAATAAAAAAAAATATTTTTAATTAAATTTTATTTGTTAATAAAATAATTATTTATTTTAAAATTAATTTTATTTTTTATATTTATCTTTATTAAATATCCTAAAATAAATATAAAGTCATTATTAATAGAGGCACTTAAAAAAAATAATAATGATTACACCTTAAAAAACTAAAAATATCTTATGTTTTTGAATATTCAACTTCTTAAAAAATATATCTAAACCGTTGTTTATGGTGGATAAAAAAATTAAAAAAATTACAGTTAAATCTCATAGAAGAGATTTTACTACTAAAAAGTTTCATCATATTCATAAAATACTCTCAAATTTTAAATTTTACTCATTTATAACTTAACAAAAGATATTTATAATTAAATAACTGGCATTTACAACTTGCAAAGGAAAATAACAACTTATAATAATAAGTTGTAAATATCTGTTGTCTAATTATAAATATTCTTTATTAAATTTTAAATATATAAGATTTAAGATTGATAGTATTGTATCAATTTTATAAGATCTTTTGATAGTGAAATGTTTTTTGTAGGACTTAACTGTAATTTTTCTTAAAAAATATAAAGCTCACACTCATGCTGAGGGAGGGGAGTGGCTGGCTAGTTTCTTTCTTTGTTTTTTTTTTTTTGTTTTTTGTTTTTTTTGGTGATCTGGGAGGTTGTTCTCCCCTGCAAGCAGAACTGTGGAGCAAATTTTTTGTTTTTAATATAAGATTACAAAGTAACCGTACAAAATAATTAAAGTCTAGCCAATATGAAAAGTCACGAGGCTTTCACAGTTGGAGGCGGGATAACTGTGGAGTGTTTATTATGGTTTTATAATCGGGAAAAAACTGAATATAAAGAAGCTCATGGTTGAGAGTGATTCGTCCACGTGTTAGCACACCGTAGTGTACATTCAAGTCAAACTGATTCTTGACATCTAAAACATGGGTTTAATTTTTTTAACTGGTGACAGTGAACTTTTGGTGAAGCAAGTGCTCAGAGTAGGCAATACTTGGTAGATTTTGCTTGTTAAGAAAAGTATGAACGAAATTAACAACTGCATTGTGTTGGTGACGTCTTAGGGAGATTGTTTCTTTGGTGTACTGAGATTTTTCCTTTTAGGATTTTAACACCTCATCTTGTGTACCAATGTACATATTTTGTTTGGGCTTCCCCTCTTTTCTTTTTGTTTTTGTTTTTTAAAAACAAGTTGTTACTAAATAATCTCTAACACACAAGACGCATAGGATAATAAATTTTAGAGAAAACATAATTTTATGTCCTTAAATTTTGTTCATGTTTTGTTATTAATCTCTATATTTTTTTTTTGTGGTTTAGATATATATACTTTATTCATAGAGAGACCTAAAATAATAAAAAAATAAAAGTGTAGGAATTTAGATCACTAAAAAAATATAAGAATTAATAGCAAAACATAAGTAAAATACAGGGGTCTAAAATTATGTTTTTCCTAAATTTTAAAATAAAATATATTGTTTAACTTTTTAACTTGCACAACTAACAAATCTTAAACTATAATGAGTTGTTTAAATTTTAATTTATTTGAAGATCACACATCTTGAAAAAATAAATTATTATTATTATATATATATATGGGGTAACAAATTCTATAATAATTCGTATGAAAATAAAAATAAGTTGTTTCTTTATTTTTAATACACATGGAATAACATATTCTAAAATAATTTTGTTGGAATAAAAAAATTTGTTATTTATATTCTTTTTTAATTTTATCTCAAACCTAACCCTTTCCCGTAGAAAAAGGAGATACGCACACGCACACCCCCGCAGCGGCCAACGTTGAATTGAGTGGGGGCAAATGTACCTCCTCACTTTGGCTAAAATTACAAAAATATGGTGTGGGATTTAATGTTTTATGTAATTACACCATATATTTTTTTATATTTTATACTTCTATCCTTAATTGATTACTTGAGATCACTCAAGTCCTGACCAAATCTAAATATATTAATTATAGATTTTCCAAATCAGTTTAGCTTGAGCATAATAAATTCTAATCCAAAATTTAACCTGTTACTATACACGAGACAACTTTTATAAAAAATATCATTATTTACTTTTTATTTACAAAATCAAATCCAAATTTTTCACAATGATTATTTTAATTATTTGTATTTTTCTCACTCAACAGTATTATTTTATA